TGGAGCATGTTTTAGGCTTAGTCTTGTGAAGATTTTGGGCATATCTTGCCATGTTTTAGCTCTGTCCATAGTCGTTTGGGTTGATCTTGGCATGCTTGATATAGCTCCTTTGTATTTGGGCTTGTTGGCCTTGAGTATGTGCATGTGTAGCATGACATCTTTGCATTGTTTTGGTGATTTGGGATCATCTTACATGCCATTTCAGTCCCATTTTCATGCTTGCTTGATTTCCTTGCATGCCTCTTTGATGCTTTGAAAGTATGTGTTGCATGCTCCATGTCTTGACCATTGTGCATGCCTATGAATTTTGAGCCACTTAGATGCCATCTAGGCAGTCCTTTAGCTTTGTTTTAACATGCTAAACCTCTGATTTTGGTCCTTCCTTTCATGCCATGTTTGGTTTTATTAAGTGTAGTTCAATGCTCCTTGGATTTGCTTTGAACACTTAGACTAATTTGTTGCATGTTTAGCTTGATTTGTTGCTTGGTTTGGCACCATGTATTAGCATGATTTTCAGAGCTTATGTTGCATGCTTTTAGTCCATGAATGTCTCGTTCAAGTGTGCTTGAATGTTGCTTGCTTTGTGCCTAAGTGTTGGGTCTTAACATGTGTGTGTGTGCATGTGTGCTTAGCATCCATTTTAGGAATTAATGGCTACTGTTTTAGGCCTATTTTAGAGCTGCCTAATTCATGTATAAGACCACCTTTCCATCTATTTGCATTGCCATATGTATGCTTGTATGCTTGCATAAGTGCCTTGCCATGCCATGTTGCATCCTTAGCTTGTATGCCTAGGTTGCATTGCATCTTGCATGCATTCCTTGTCCCTTGACTTGGGTGATAGGGATTGGGAGTTTTGTTTGATTGGTTTGCATACATTTGAAATCAAAGTTGCATACTTGGTTCTTTGGGCCATCATGCATGGAAATGCGTGATTGGTGGTCCGAGAAACGAGGCACATGTCCCTTTGAGTCATCACAATGATAAGAGACATGGTTGATGCATACATGCCTT